AATAAAATATATATTTTTAAAATACATTGAGTAAACTTTTCTACAGAGAAATCATTATTAAAAAGCTTTACTAATTCTTTTGACAGGTTGAAATATTTGCATTGTTATTTTTCAGTATTCTAATATTCATTACTTTTTTCAGCTTTGTTTTTTGAGACCACAATTTGAAAGCATCTATAAACACACTGTTTTTATAATACCAGAAAGGTGGCTACTTTCTTGTGTTAATTATTTTTTAAACACTTTCAAGAGTCAGCTTACTAACTAATTAAAGATAAAACTAAAACAGTTAATGCTTAAATAATCCTGACTTTAGTTCTATTTAGTATGAAGTCTGTCTTGTTAGGTAACCATTAAACTTTTTTATTGAAAAGAATTTTTAAGCTCAAAAGTTTAAAGTTAAATTATCTTGAACAGCAACAAACTAATTCTTATGTATTGTAAACATAAATATATGAGATAAATATATATATTGTACCTTCACAGAGGCCTATTTTGCTATCTTAGACCTTTAATCCATGAAAGGAAAAAATGAGACAGGAAAAATATTTTGATAATCATCAGTGAAGTAGAATTTCCACATTGTATCTAAAAATGGGGGGAAAAGTTATAGACTTTCTATTCATTTTGTTAATGCAATATATTTATATAATTTTGCACCTCTTATTGTTTGCTAGTAAAAATATTTACTATATTTTTAATGTCTCTTAAAAAACAAATATTTAGTTGAAGAATTAGTCCAACATGTTGTAAATTAGTTCAGTAAATTTTTTAAAAAAATATATTTTATTGATTTTGTACAGAGAGGAAGGGAGAGAGATAGTTAGAAACATCAATGAGAGAGAGTCATCGATCAGCTGCCTCTTGCACACCCCCTACTGGGGATATGCCTGCAACCAAGGTACATGCTCTTGACCGGAATCAAACCCGGGACCTTTCAGTCCCCAAGCCGACGCTCTATCCATTGAGCCAAACCGGTTTCGGCTAGTTCAGTAAATTTTTTATTTAAAAAGGTTATATAGCCCTAACCTATTTGGCTCAGTGGATAGAGCATCGGCCTGCAGACTGAAGGTTACTGGGTTCGATTTCAGTCAAGAGCACATGCCCCGGTTCAGGCTCCGTCCCTGGAGGGGGACATGCAGGAGGTGGCCGATAGGTGATTCTCTTTCATAATCGATGTTTCTATCTCTTTCTACCCCTCTCCCTACCTCTCTGGAAAACCAAACAAAAAACTCAGTGCCTTAAACAACAAAGCTTTACTCCTCCCTCAATTTATGTTATTGGCTGTGTTATGAAACAGTTCCACTCTGGAATCCAGGCTGAAGAAGCTGCCCTTATCTGAGATATTGTCATCTTTGTAGTGGAGGAAAAGGGAGATGGTCAAACCATGTGAGGCCCTTAAAACTTTTGTTTGGAACTGGCACATTATTTCAATTCACATTTCGTTATTCACACTGTTACGTGGCTGATTCTGATGTGAGTGGAGTGAGAATTACAGCCTTTCCACTAGGGAAAGAGGAGGTATGAATGTTTTCATAACAGTTTCCCACATTACATTCTTGTAAAGATAAAATGAACTATAGTAATCTATAATAATAAAAGTGTAATATACTAATTAGACCAGATAGCCAAACGACCTTCCTGACATCATTCCAGATGTCCTTCCAGGTAAAGCCACATGGTGGGGACCAAGGCAGAGGCAGTTAGGGACGATCAGGTAGGCAGGCAAGTAGTTAGGAGCCAGTGGTCCTGGATTGCAAGAAGGGTACAGGCTGGGCTCGCGCACGCTCTCTCTCTCTTTCTCTCTCTCTCTCTCTCTCTCTCTCTCTCTCTCTCTCTCTCTCTCTCTCTCTCTCTCACACACACACACACACACACACACACACACACACACACACACACACTGTGCACGAATTTTGTGCCCCAGGCCTCTATAATAATAAAAGCATAATATGCTAATTAGACCAGATATTCTTCCCTACGAAGCCAGGGCTGCAAGAGCCGAGTTGGCCACCGCAGCAGGGACTGCAAATTTCATGCATCAGCCTTCTAGTTAAATATAAGTAACTTAAACTTTTCCTAAAGTATAGTGGAATATCTCATTAATTTACAAGTTTATGACTTATACAAGCCATATACTATTAGGTAGGTGTATCAGTTAATAAGGCAGATTTTTTCAATAGATGGAGTTACACATATGTTGATATATGTGTGATTTGATATGTATGCTATTTTGTTGTGTTAACAAGCTTCAAAACTTCATATGTCAAATTTTCTTAAGGTGTGAACATCACTGATATTTTTACATTTAAAAATGTTGAATTTCGTGCCAAAAATAGAGCATTTGTGGGAAGTTATAGTTCATTACTTTATTTTGAAGAAAAGTGCTGTTGAATACTTTAATAAGCTTATGGTGAACATGCTCCCATCTCAAGATACTTATGAATACTGGTTTAAATGCTTTAAAGATGATTTCAATGTGAAAGACAAAGAACAGCCAGGTCAATTGAAAAGTTTTGAAGACCAACGATTATAAACATTATTGGATGAATATGTGTGTCAAACTCAAAAATAGTTTGCAGAAAGATTAATTGTTTTCCAATTGTTTACAAGTAATGGGAAAGATTTTGAGGGAAAATGGGTACCATATCAACTGAACAAAAGGCAAATGGAAAATCGAAGAGTCATCAGTAAAATGTTGCTTCAATGGCACAAAAGAAAGGCTTTTTTGCATTGAATCGTGACTAGTGATGAAAAGTGAATTTATTTTGAGAATCCCAAATGCACAGAATCATGGGTTGATCCCTGTCAACCATCAACATCGACTGCAAGGCCAAATCATTTCAGAAAGAAGACAATACTCTATGTTTGGTGGGATCAGGAAGGTGTGGTGTATTATGAGCTTCGAAACCAGGTATAACCTTAATATTTATCGCTACCAACAATGATCAATTTGAACCACACTTTGATCATGAAACGACCAGAATGTTCCAGAAGACACGGCAAAGTAATTTTGCTTCATGATGATGGACCATCACACACGTCAAAACCAGTTAAAGACACGTTAAAAGATCTTTCCTGGGAAGTATTTACCCACCCGCTATACTCACCAGATCTTGCTCCTTCAGATTACCATTTGTTCCATTAGATGTCTCATGCACTTTCTGAGCAGCACTTCAAAACATAAGAAGAAGTGGAAAATTGGGTCTCCGAATGGTTTGCCTCAAAACAAGAAAAGATCTATTGGGACGATAACCACAAATTACCTGAAAAATGGGGAAATGTGTAGCTAGCAATGGACAATACTTTGAATAAAGCACTTTTGATGTTTCTTTTGAAATTATCATGTTGTTTTTTATAACAAAATTCACATTATTAACTGGTACACCTGGTATAAGTTTACCTTGGCAGTATAAATGTTGTAAAGGTTTACTAAAACAACAAGTAATGTAATTTTTATTAACCAATGTTACCCAATAAATTTAATTTTTTAGAAAATAGTGTATGTCAAAGTGCTTAATTTTATGAGGAACAGATTTTTTTTTAGCACTTAACAAGTATTATACCAGTATCCAAGAAAATATACTGGCAGAAAACTAGTCCTTAGGTGTCAATAAGGAAGAATGTTTCTGGAGTTACATTATATCCTAATTCTTGGATATTTAGTATACATCAGAATATGGAATTCTTGAAGAAATTTTTTTTGTTCATTTAATTTTGCTTAACCTAGTATTTATTTCCCTGATTTATTTGACCTTGGAACCTATTTGCTAAGCAATACCTAATAAATTTTCTTAAAGAAATACTGGCATGAGGAAGTTGGTAAGCTGATTATAATTCATTAATAGATCTAGATCTTCAGTGTTTGTCAACCTCTTTGTTAATTTTAGTGGTGGTTTGTTTTCATAAAGAAAGCAAGTGCATTTTCTTTTTTAACCTCAGGGTATCCCACCCAGTTCAGGGAAATTCCATGTGGAATTATTCTGAATTGGATACAGTCTGTGTTCAGGTACTCTGTTGATATGTATTCTTAAAGAACCCCCACCCAGTACCACCCAGTGACACTCATACCTCAGAAGTCTTATAATAGCATAACAACAGCTGACATTTTTTTTTTAAAGATTAGAATTGTGGGATAAGCATATTTTTAGGTTGAAGTTTTAAAAAATATTATTAAGACAAAAACATACCCAATTCATGTTTTTAAATTTTTTTATTCCTTTATTGGGAAAACAAAAATAACAAATTAAAACATCTTAGACCAAAAAAAAATAATAATAATAAAAAAAATAAAAAAAATAAAACATCTTAGACCAGTATTTCCCAGAGTGGGGCACATGCCCTACAGGGTGGCAAATTGATTTTTAAAGGGGGCAATTTGAGAATGAGTTATTAACAGTGAATTTTTTGCATTTATTATGGTTATAGGGGCCTAAAATACAATATATAAATACATATTGTGATATATTTATGCATTTCAGTTTTCTATTATGTTTTGAAACTTTATTTGCTATTTTCATATTATTTCATATTATTTTTTAAAACAATTTCTTAGTGATTTCTTCCTCAGTATTCAACTGTCTTCATTTTTCTCTTTCAAGGATGCCATGTTATTTGGAAGCTTGTTTAGACCAAATTTAATGACCTTTTAGGCTTCCTCTATGTGAATAGTTCACTTTTTTAATAATAAGAATTTTATGTCAGGGGGTGGGGGTCTGGATTTTAGAGATGCTTATGTGGGGCATGGCCAAAAAAGGTTGGTAACCACTGTCTCAGACATTAACCCATTCTTATACAATCTTGCAAGAGTCATTAAAAATTAATATGGACTTTTCTGGGAGTTTTTTTGTTGTTCTCTGTTAGGGTAAAAGTAAAGTTTAAAATAAAGGAAGTTAATTTAGAGGTTAACAAAGACAACTTCTAGAACTAAATAATTGAGGGTTGATTTTAGATAAATGTGTTGGTGGTTCTTTTTATGGAATGCTTATGTATATTCACAGCTCAGCCAGCAGGAGTGCCAGAAATCTTAAAGAAGAGCTTGCATAGTTGTTCAGTGAAAGGAGAGGAAGAAGTATTTTTAATTGGCAAGAACTTTCTGAAAGGAACTAAAGTGATTTTCCAAGAAAATGTTTCTGGTAAGTAGACATAATTTCACTGACATAGAGATTGTTGCATGTTTCACTTTGTTTAAAGCTATAGTCATAGCTACAAAGTGAAAAAATAAAATAAAGTAAATCACTGTTTTTGTTTCAATCAGATGAAAACTCTTGGAAGTCAGAAGCTGAAATCGACATGGAATTATTTCATCAGGTATTTCATTTTAAGACTTTTAAAAAATATTTTATTGATTTCTGAGGGGTGGGAGAGATAGAAACATTAACAATGAGAGAATCATCCATTGGCTGCCTTCTGCATGACCCCCGCTGGGAATCCAACCTGCAGCCAGTAATCCTGGTTCAGAGTTCATTGCTCAACCACTGAGCCACGCCCCCAGGGCTAATTTAAGACTTTTTATAGTTTGATTGTTTACTCTCTGAGAAATTCAGTTTTGTTTCAAAATTTCCTGAATCAAAAGATTAAATTTTTTCTTTATTTTCTTTGTTTTCTTTCTCAGGATTGCTCTGGCTATTTGGGGTCTCTCTCTTTTTTTTTTTTATTCCAGATGAATTTTTGGAGAGTTTGTTCTAGATCTTTGAAATATACCATTGGTATTTTAATAGGTATTGCATTGAATTTATAGATTACTTTAGGTAGTATGGATACTTTAATGATCTTGATTCTATCAATCCATGAACATAGTATGTTCTTCCATTTGTTTATGTCTTCCTCTATCTTTTTTCAGTGTCCTGTAGTTTTCCGAGTACAGGTCTTTTACTTCTTTAGTTAAGTTTATTTCTAGAAATCTTATTTTTTTTGGTGCATTGGTAAATGGGATTTTTGTTGTTGTGGTTGAAACATTTATTTCTTAATATTTATTTGTGCTGGCGATTTGGATTATCTTAACCTACTATTAGCTAAATCAAAGAGAATTTATTTATTGAGTTCCAAGTGTTTTTATGTTTGTTACCTTTTTGCATCCAGAAGAACAATTTGTTACACTTGTATTGAAGAGTGTGTATTTGCAGGCACTCACTATGTATTGGTTTTATATAATAAGAAAAAAGAGCCTGAAAACGAGAAAGAAATAACTTAAGAATTAGTATGTAGAGCAAATAGGAGCAAACTCAGGTGCTGAGACAACAGAAGAGAAGGGCAAATTTATATGCAAATCAGATAGAAGACTCGAAAAATTGTAGTAAGTTTAGATATAGATCATAGAGAATGGAGAGGCAGGAACATACTAATGTGTAAAATACTCAAAGCCTAAAATATAGCATCAAATGCTGATAGGAATAGAAAAGAGCACATGAAAGCTAGCAGAGAGCTAAAAGAGGCAAAAAAATTGAGAATCTATATCCAATTTATTAAAGATATTAAAACAAAAGTTTGTAATTCTTTTGTGTCATATATATATATATATATATATATATATATGTATATTTTATTTTTTTTATTTTTATTTTTTTACATATGTGTCTTTATTCCCCCATTACCCCCCATCCTCCACTAATACCCCACCTCCCTTTTGTCTGTGTCCATTGATTAGGCTCATATGCATGCACACAAATCCCTTGGTTGATCTTTCCCCCTTACTCCCACCGACCCCCCCACCTGGGGGTATCTTATTCCTTTTTATTCTTCTGTGGTTTAAGAAAAATCTTAGGAAGTAAAAAAAAGTCATCAAATTCACTTCGCCTTGAGCTGTCATCATTTGCCTCCTGCATATCTCATCCTCTGCACAAAAGTATAATCACGATCCCTTGATGCTCCTTCCCATTACTATATTGTACCGGGGAAGAAGAAAATACATCCAAATGGGTCACAATATCTTCCAAGAAGACGTGGCAACCTTGAGTAACAGTTGGCGAAGCATTTGTGAACTCTTCTTTTCTTATAAGGATGTTTCTGCCACTATTCTGACAAAAAAATAAATAAATAACTTTGATTTCCAGGATCATGGTAGACTGAACTTTATTTGGTTAAATGAGGGTAAATTTGACTTAATTTGGGTAAACTGAGGTCTATTTGGCTAAGTAATTAGGAAGCAGTGAACCGCCTTGTAAAGTACACCTCAACTAAGGTTGTACAGAACATGGTAACTGATACTGGGCTCGATGGGCATAGTTTTTTTCTCAAAATGTACTCATTCTTTTATTCAGCAAATATATTTGTGTATTTCTTGTATAAAGTGCTTAACAGGATAAATACGTAGAATGAAGACAGAACATCCTATGTTCTCATGAACCTTACATTCTTGAGGTTGGAGAGGGGGGGGGGGGGAAAACACACATCATAACAGTAATTTCAGGTAGTGATAAGTGCTAATTTAGAAAGAAACAAGAGTATATGATTAGGACTGAGAGGGGTGTCACTTTTAAAAGGATGGTCAGATCGCTTCTCCAAGGAGGTAACATTTGAATAATTCTTAAAAATGGGTAAGGAACTAGTCATTTTAAGAGGTGAAGGAAGAATATTCTAGAGAGAGAGAACAGTAAGTTGTAAAGGCTCTGAGGTAAAAGTGAATTTTGTATGTTAAAAGAATGGACTGAGAATGTCAGTATGCCTAGAATATAAACAATCTGGGGAGGATGAGGATAAAAGAAAGTTGTTATGGCAGGAACCTTGTTAGTCATTATAAAACATTTGGATTTTATCTTAAAAATAGTTTTAAAATTAATATCCTGGCCCTTACCAGTTTGGCTAGTGGATAGAGCTTCGACCTTCGGACTGAAGGGTCCCAGGTTCGATTCCGGTCAAGGGCATGTACCTTGGTTGCAGGCACATACCCACTAGAGCACATGTGTCAAACACAAGGCCCTCGGGCCAAATCCGTCCCGCCAGGCCTTGCAATGTGGCCCGCACCGCACTGTCATCACTGCACTCCGCTGCTTTTCCATCACAATGACAGTTTATGACTGTTCAGTAAACCATTTGGCCCGCGATTTAGGCTGGATTTTAGATTTTGGCCCCTTCTCTGATTGAGTTCGACACCCCTACGTGCAGGAGGCACTGATCGATGTTTCTGTCTATCCCTCTTACCTTCCACTCTGTTAAAAAAACAAAAACAAAAAAACACACAATAGCCGAGACCCGTTTGGCTCAATGGATAGAGCATCGGCTTGGCGACTGAAGGGTCCCGGGTTCGATTCCGGTCAAGGGCATGTATCTTGGTTGCGGGCATATCCCCAGTAGGGGGTGTGCAAGAGGCAGCTGATCGATGACTCACTCTCATCGATGTTTCTAACTCTATCTTTCTCCCTTCCTCTCTGTACAAAATCAATAAAGTATATTTAAAAAAATATACACACAATAAAATGTGTTTTTTTAAAGATTAATATCCTGATGTCTATGAACCTAAGTTTTAAAATAATTTTTCTAGTCAGACTTTTGACCTTTATAGCTAAAAGGAAATGTACTTAATTATAATTTTTATTTCAAAATTGTTATTTAAATATTGCTTCTTTTCTGACTCTTGTAATTTTCTTTCAATTAGAATCATCTTATTGTGAAAGTTCCCCCATATCATGACCAACATATAACTTTGCCAGTATCAGTGGGAATATATGTAGTGACCAATGCTGGAAGATCTCATGATGTTCAACCATTCACTTACACTCCAGACCCAGGTATGTAAAAAAAAAAAAAAAAAAAAAAAAAAAAAAAAAAGAGTCTGAACTAAAATGAATGTTTAATTTCTGGTACTTTGGAAAGATATGGAGATCAGCCAACCAAAAGGAAAAAGTGGTAGCCTGGCTTGTGTGGCTCAGTGGTTGAGTGTCCACCTATGAACCAGGAGGTCACTGTTCGATTCCCGGTTAGGGCACATACTCAAGTTGTGGGGTTGGATCCACAGTAGGAAGCGTCTAGGAGACAACTAATCATTGATTCTCTTTCATTATTGATGTTTCTGTCTCTCTCTCTCTCCCTCTTCCTTTCTCTGAAATCAATTTTAAAAAAAGAGAGAGAATTTAAAAAAAAACAAAAAAACAAAAACCGGTTTGGCTCAGTGGATAGAGCATTGGTCTGCAGACTGAAAGGTCCCAGGTTCGATTCCAATCAAGGGCATGTACCTTGGTTGTGGGCATAACCCCTGTGGGGGGGGGGGTGAAGGATGCAGCTGATCGATGTTTCTCTCTCATCAATGTTTCTAGCTCTCTATTCCTCTTCCTCTCTGTAAAAAATAAATAAAACATAAAATAAATAAATAAATAAATAAAGAGCCTGGCTTTTGAAAAAGAAAGAAAAGAAAAGCTAGGAATGCTCTGAAGTCAGACTCTCCAGAATTATCACACAGCTTACTCTTTAATAAGAATTAACATTCATTGAGTTTCTCTAGTCTGCAGAAAGATGAAAAGTGACAACTTTGGGAAACTGCTAATAGTTTAGCTAGCTTACAGGATTGCCTTTTGGGAGAGAGAAGAGCTTGCTTAGAACCATAAGTGATAAGAATCACAAATGGAGTTAAGTGCCTGTAACATTTTCTAATCTGTGTAATCAAAAATACCAAAGACTGCTGGTGAATAAATATTTTAAGTATAATTTTAAGCATTTATGCAAAATAGATGCTTTTAGAAACCAGAGCAATAAGAACAATTGAAATGTTAAAAATTTACAAGATCTACCCTGGCTGGGTGGCTCAGTTAGGGTTAGAGCATTAATCCTTTCTTCTTTTTTTAATAGCAGCAGCTGGTGCTTTGAATATAAATGTGAAGAAGGAAATATCTAGTCCAGCACGACCTTGCTCTTTTGAAGAGGCCATGAAAGGTACTAAGTTGATTTTTATATATTTCCCTAGCAAACTAAGATTTTGTTTTCTCTTATGTACTTGGAACACTTAGCAGGGTCTCTTCTATATTGTAAAATAAATATTTGTTTTTTACTGAATGCAGAGATTTGTTTCCCAACTTGATATTTCCCTTCATTCATCATGTAAACAATTTTAAAATATATATATTTTATTGATTTTTTTACAGAGAGGAAGGGAGAGAGAGAGAGCTAGAAACGTTGATGAGAAAACATCGACCAGCTGCCTCTTGCACACCCCCTTCTGGAGATGTGCCCGCAACCTACGTACATGCCCTTGACCGGAATCGAACCTGGGACCTTTCAGTCTGCAGACTGACGCTCTACCGCTGAGCCAAACCGGTTTCGGCATGTAAACAATTTTTTTTTACATGTTGGAGTGGAGGTTTTGTTTTTTTTTTTTTCCCATTCCCCAATATTAAAAATCTTAAAAGTATATGCAAAGTACAATATGTATGTACAAAATTTTCTACCAATAAGATTAGTTGAAACTAAAGAGACCAAAATATGAACTATCAACATTTGAAAAAGTTGCTTTAGGATCTTTCTTCTGACGTTTTTATTTACTTCTCTGCCAATCCCCAGGGATAACAAAGTTATATCTTCAGGATGTTATGTGACAGATTCTTTCTCAGGTTTCTAAAACAACTATGATACTCAGTGATACTTTTGTGCCATTATAAATGAATATGTCAATTATGTAATGGCCATTGGTTTATTCTTATAATCCTAGCTTTTACTTACACTTTTCTGCCATGAAATTCATGAGTTACATAAAATTAAATTATAAAATTAAAAATATTTACATTTAAAAGGGAATAATATGCTTAATTTTATCCAATATGGTAGCTTTTTTTTCTATTGTCAGTAGTAAAATTTAGCTATCATATATATAACATGCCAGTTTTGTATCTCATGCTATATAACATTTTAAATAATGGACTTTTAAATCATGGCTAATAGTCATCACAGTATAAAATGAAATTGTTGATGACTATAGTGGTTTTAACCTTTTTTTTTTCTTGTTTTTGTGTGTGTGTCTATGTGTGCAGCTATAAAAACTACTGGATGTAACTTAGAAAAGGTAAATATTCTTCCTAATGCTCTGATCACTCCACTCATATCAAGCAATATGATTAAGAGTGAAGATGTTACTCCAATGGAAGTGACAGCAGAAAAAAGACCGATTTTTAAGGTAAGCCAGCCACATTGACAAGTGTCCTCCATCTTAATCTTAAATATAAAAATTACTTTTTATATTTTAAGTGGTTTGATTTCTTTTTCTCATGTTTATGCTTTTTACTTTTCTGTTTCTTTTACATTTGTTTTTCTTTGCACTTAATTAATTTTGCTTTTCAGAGTAAGTGCCTTTATACTCCAATAAAATAGCCTGCTTTAAAGTGACTTCCAGTATTTTTTACAAGGAAGAAGAATTACTGTGTTAGCTAGACCTATGGGATGAAGGGTGTTAATGAAAGTACGGTACTGGTTAGCATTTTTAAAATTAGAGACATTTTTATTTCCTTTTCTTTCCCACTCTTCCTATAACTCCCTTTCCCTTTTTCCCTTGTTTTCCTCTTATAATGTTACCAGTAAAACACAAAAAGGGAATATTTTTTTGCCTGCTATTAATTCATGACCCATAGAATTAATGTTTTTAACTGTCCTGAGCATATCAACAGCTGATTACTATATATATATATATGTATGTATATGTATGTGTGTGTGTATATTTATATATATATATATATATATATATATATATATATATATGTATATTTATTTATTTATTTATTTAATTGATTTCAGAGAGGAAGAGAGAAAAACATCTGTGATAAGAGAGAATCATTGATTGGCTGCCTCCTGCACACCCTACACTGAGGATCAAGCCTGTAACCCAAGCATGTGCCCTGACTGGGAATCAAACCATAACCTCCTGATTCATAAGTCAGTGCTCAGCCACTGAGCCATGCTGGCTGGGCAGTTGATTCTTTTACTTTCCTTGTTTGACTATCTTTGTTTATAATACATAGTAGAGGCCTGGTGCATGAATTCCTGCACCAATGGGGTCCCTCATCTTGGCCTGCAGGATCAGGCTGAAACTGGAACTCCGACATCCCCTGAGGGGTCCCGGAATGGAGAGGGTGCAGGGACCCCACTGGTGCACAATCGGGGCAGGGGAGGAACAAGGGAGGTTGGCCAGCCAGGAAGGGACTATGCGAGGGCTCCAGAGTGTGTCTGGCCCATCTCACTCAGTTCTGATCAGCTGGACCCCAGCAGCAAGCCAACATACTGGTAGGTGCGTCTGCCCCCTGGTAGTCAGTGCACATTATAGCAACTGGTCAACAGGTTGACTCTCTGCCCCCTGGTGGTCAGTGCATGTCATAGCGAGCAGTTGAGAGGCTTTACATATCATTAGCATATTACACTTTGATTGAATGGACAATCAGATAGCATATTGGGGTTTTATTATATAGGATTTTAAAAATACTCTTTAGACAATTAGACATGTATCACCAAAAATCATAGTCTTATACCTATTTTCCAAATAATATAGAGTGGAAAATTGGTCCTGCATATGCATATGTTTTTAGACTAATGTTAATTTTTGAAGTATTATATGAGCTCATTTAATGTTATTAATATTATCTGGGGATTTATATTTTCAGACTACGAAGACAGTTGGACCAACTCAACAAACATTGGAAAATATCTCTAACATAACAGGAAATGGCTCTTTTCCATCATCATCATCATCTTCTCATTTACCCTCTGAAAATGAAAAGCAGCAGCAGATTCAGCCCAAGGCATACAATCCAGAAACCCTGACAACTATCCAAACACAGGACATTTCACAGCCTGGTACCTTTCCAACAGTTTCTGCTTCTAGTCAGCTGCCTAACAGTGACGCACTACTGCAGCAGGCCACACAGTTTCAGACAAGAGAAGCTCCATCTAGAGAGGTATTGCAGTCAGATGGAACTGTGATTACTTTGTCACACCTGACTGAGGCATCACAGCAACAGCAGCAGTCACCACTACAAGAACAAGCACAGACTTTACAGCAGCAGATTTCATCAAGTATGTTCCCATCACCAAGTAGTGTGAGTCAGATACAGAACACGATTCAGCAGTTGCAAGCAGGAAATTTTAGCGGCAGTACTGCTAGTGGCAGCAGTGGAAATGTTGACTTGGTTTTAGAGGCACAACAAGTTTTAGAGGCACAACAACAGTTATCTTCAGTTTTGTTTTCTACTCCAGATGGTAATGAGAATGTTCCAGAACAGCTTAGTGCAGACATTTTTCAACAAGTCAGTCAAATTCAAAATAGTGTAAGCTCTGGAATGTTTTCCCAGACAGAACCAGCAGTCCATACCAGACCAGATAATTTAATAGCTGGAAGAGCTGAAAGTGTTCACTCACAGACTGAAAATACGTTATCTAATCAACAGCAACAGCAACAGCAGGTGATGGAATCATCAGCTGCAATGGTGATGGAGATGCAACAGAGTATCTGCCAGGCCCAGATTCAGTCAGAATTATTTCCTTCAACTGCTTCAGCAAATGGAAATCTTCAGCAGTCTCCAGTTTACCAGCAGACTCCTCATATGATGAGTGCATTACCTACCAGTGAGGACATGCAAATGCAATGTGAATTGTTTTCTTCTCCTCCTACAGTTTCTGGAAATGAAACTAATACAACCACCACACAACAGGTTGCAACCCCAGGCACTACCATGTTTCAAACTTCAAGTTCAGGAGATGCAGAGGAAACGGGCACACAAGCAAAACAGATGCAGAACAGTGTCTTTCAGACCATTGTCCAAATGCAACATAGTGGGGACAATCAACCTCAAGTTAACCTTTTTTCATCTACGAAAAGTATGATGAGTGTTCAGAATAGTGGTGCCCAGCAACAAGGTAATGGTTTATTCCAGCAAAGTAATGAAATGATGTCACTCCAATCTGGGAATTTTTTGCAGCAGCCTTCTCATTCACAGGCTCAGCTTTTTCATCCTCAAAATCCTATTGCTGATGCTCAGAACCTTTCACAGGAAACTCAAGGTTCTATTTTCCACAGCCCAAGTCCTATTGTTCACAGTCAGACTTCTACAACCTCCACTGAACAGATGCAGCCTCCAATGTTTCACTCTCAAAGTACCATGGCTGTGCTACAGGGCTCTAACGTTCCTCAAGATCAGCAGTCAGCCAACATATTTCTTTCCCAAAGTCCAATGAATAATCTTCAAGCTAACACAGTAGCCCAGGAAGAACAGATTTCATTTTTTGCAGCTCAGAACTCAATTTCTCCACTTCAGTCAACGTCAAACACTGAGCAGCAAACTGCTTTCCAACAGCAGCCTCCAATATCACACATTCAGACCCCTATGCTTGCCCAAGAACAGGCACAATCCTCCCAGCAAGGTCTATTTCAGTCTCAGGTATCCCTGGGCTCCCTTCCTCCTAATCCAATGCCTCAAAACCAACAAGGGACAATCTTCCAGGCACAGCACTCAATAGTTGCCATCCAGAGTAACTCCCCATCCCAGGAGCAGCAGCAACAGCAGCAGCAACAGCAACAGCAGCAACAGCAACAGCAGCAACAACAACAGAACATTTTATTCAGTAATCAGAACACCATGGCTACAATGGCATCTCAAAAACCACCACCACCAAACATGATATTCAACCCAAGTCAAAATCCAATGGCTAATCAGGAGCAACAGAACCAGTCAATATTTCACCAACAAAATAATATGGCCACAATGAATCAAGAGCAACAACAGCCCATGCAATTTCAGAACCAGCCCACAGTTTCCTCACTTCAAAACCCAGGTCCTACCCAGTCCGAATCGTCACAGACATCCTTGTTCCATAGTTCTTCTCAGATGCAACTGGTCCAGGGGTCACCCAGTTCTCAAGAGCAGCAAGTAACTCTTTTCCTCTCTCCAGCATCCATGTCTGCATTGCAGACCAGTATAAACCAACAAGAGATGCAACAGTCTCCTCTTTATTCCCCTCAGAACAACATGCCTGGAATCCAAGGAGCCACATCTTCACCTCAACCACAGGCTACTTTATTTCACAACACTACAGGAGGCACAATGAACCAACTACAAAATTCTCCTGGCTCATCTCAGCAGACTTCAGGAATGTTCTTATTTGGCATTCAAAATAGTAAGAAATTCTAATTTCTCATTTCTTAAATTTATTGGTTTAAATCAGGCGTCCTCAAACTTTTTAAAGTGGGGGCCAGATCACGGTCCCTCAGAGAGCTGGAGGGCCGGACTATATGAACTACTAATTCCTACTGTAACACCTCGGCTGCGCTCACTGCCCAAAAAACCTGGCGGGCCGGATCAGACTCCTCTGCGGGCCACATGTGGCCCGCCGGCCGTAGTTTGAAGACCCCTGGAAATGGTCAAAGTATTATTATTATTAGAAGGAAGCAAAGCACAGTGGTTTTAACAACATGGATTATAGTTTGTCAGAACTGAGTTCAAGTCCCAGTTATACCAGGAATAGACTGTAAGATCTTAGACAAGTTATTTGACTGGCATGAACTTCAGTTTGCACATCTAAAATGGTGGTAATATTACATGCTTGACAAGGATATTGGGAGGATTAAATGTGGTAGTGTATGTGTTTGCCACTTTAACCTATGAACTTGAAAGGAAAATAAAGAATGACAGAAAATCTCAACCAATTTAAGTAGTTTCCAAGGAGGTAGAAACCCATCTTTAATGTTTATGTACCAAGGAAATTATATAGGACTTGAGATGATAACTAGACAAAGTTGTGTTTGTATACTGCTAAGAGGAAACCAAAGATGAATATCAGTACTTTTTTTGGGGGGGGGGTGGGGGTGGGAATTAGGTGCCTCACTTTTAGTTCTATGCTGAGTGGACACCATAATGACTTACACCCAGCAACTAATTCATATCTTCTATGAATCTTAAGAGCAAGTAACTAATCAGCTTCTCTATTTAAAATGTCTCTGCAGACTGTAATCAGCTTTTAACTTCTGGACCAGCTGCATTGCCAGATCAGTTGATGGCCATAAGTCAGCCAGGCCAACCACAAAATGAGGGCCAGCCACCTGTGACAACACTTCTTTCTCAGCAAATGCCAGAGAATTCTCCACTGTCATCCTCTATGAACACCAACCAGAACATGGAAAAGATTGATTTGCTTGTTTCATTGCAAAACCAAGGGAACAACATGACTGGCTCCTTTTAACTGGATATGTAAGTATTGCATTTTTCCTTTTTTTTTTTTTTTTTTTTTTTTTTAATTGAAAAGCATCAATGAATTTATTATTCCCAGCAGATTTGGCTAAGTAAATATGGTGTACTCACCAGGTGATACTTTTGCTACTTTGAATAAGTTACTCGATATGTGATAGCTTATGGTCATATTGATCCTGGGCATTCTGCCCTCGCCAGTTTGGCTCAGTGGATAGAGTGTCAGCCTGCAAGAGGCAGCCGGTCCGTGATACTCTCTCATCGTTGATGTTTATATCTCTCTTTCACTTTCCCTTCCTCTCTGGAAGCAATAAAAATCTATTTAAAAAAAAAAATACTGGCCATATCTTCTGGCTTTAAACTTCTTTGCCTTGGAATGACAGAAAATATGATATATGTATTATATATTAGATATGATAATGTCTCATTCTCCTTTCCTCAAGGAATAAATATTGAGTCAGAAAACTGTGGAAGTATAAATACGTATTATGAAGTGTCATCTATAATATTGTAATATACTTTGGGATCATTCAGGGTAACAGAAACTTTATAAATGCTTTCCCTCACTAGTGAGTTACATTAAATGTTTTCTTTTTTTAGAAATTCCATGAAGAAAATCCTGATTCCAAGATGTCCTGAGATCTTGTGATTCCATGAGGATTATTGAACTGTTACTTTAAAAACAAAATGAGATATGAAAAACTGTGATTGAGTAAATGGATAGATTTTACTCTTGCTGCAAAAGAGCACACCTATGCTGCCTGTTGCAGTGATTAGCCACCATCGTTAACATGTTCATATTTTCTATTCCTAATAGCACTGATGACTGAGAATCTGCTTGAGTTTCCAGCTGACAGAATTAATTGTTGCTATTTTCCTAGGGGCTATTTAAAAGTACAGTTTAAATTTAAAAGCTGGACTGCTCAGTTATTAATGCTATTAGAAAATAATCCATATTGTCATGTTTACTTTTGTTCTTTGTCATTTTCTTTCCTGCATTGTTTTAGTCAAATAACAGCTTTTGAAAAAGGAAAATTCAGATAATAACTAAGGCTGTGATTTTTTCATTATGAAAAGCACAGCTATTGGCCAAAGTGAAGGAATCCTTTTTCAGTAGAAAACTGGAGAGGTAGCATTCTGACAAATAAGCTGTTCACAGATAAGAGGCTTCTTTATCACAAAGGCAGACAACACACAACTGGGAACAGCTGGAGTGCTATTGATTTTATTTTTCAGATTGCTGTTAAATTCTCTGTATTTCTGATAAGGAGTTCAGCCATAAGTACATAGGAGAATAATTATCTTGCTCTTTAAACAGTGAAGGGGATAATATTACGGTAAATTATGTTCCGATATCCTCCTGCAGTAGTTTAAATTGACATCAATTTAAATCTGTTTTCTTCTTAACCTAGTCTTGGGCTGGTTGTTCCCTTTTTATATTCATCTATATTATTCCCCTTCTTTTCACTTTATTTTAGACAATTGGTAAAATATTCCTAGCTTTGTGACCCTGTAGCATCTTAAAGGAAAGGCCACTTAGACCTGGGGTAGCCTAGCTAGTCCTGCAGCACAGGTAGGGGTGTAAAGAGAGCTGATTCCTGAGAAACAAAAAACAATGCATTTTTCTCCATGAACGGTGCTGTTCTGAAGTCTTCAAATTTTTCCCTCTAATGGGAAACAGTATAAATTTTAATTTTTAAAAGGCAAAGTAAAATTTCTTGAAGCATAACTTCTCCGTGAGCTGCAGTGAGTGTAATTCACTTGTCACCTCAGTGCTTTACAGTTTGAAGTGGTCACTATCTGATGGTTCCCACAAGCCTTAGGCTTTACAGGGTCATATCATGACTTAAAATGAAGAATTAACTTGTGTTACATCTATAGACAGCAAAATAACACACTCCAGAACTTGTATTTGTAGCAGTTATACAGTTTTGTGTGTTCTTACTACCCGTGGGATGCTTGCTTTTCATTACAACCTGTTGTCTAGACACATGCTTATGTTTTATTTTTCTTTTGGCATGTAGAAAGCTGTTAATACAGTTTAAGGCCAAATTGTGTGTGGCTTCTATACGTAGATAAGATGTTTTGGTATCTTATCAGTTTCATTTATTTTTTAAGTGTACAAAAAATAGCCTGCTGATTGCTTGTTGAAGGCTATTTTTCTATTTGTTTTTGTTGTTGTTGTTTTCTATCCTATACATTTAGTTAAACTTAGTGGAATTGTGGTCTTGATTTTGTTTATACAGCCAGATTTTTCCCCTTTTTTGTGTGATCTTCCTTGGTTCTTTGAATGTGCTCTTCTAATTTTTTTTTTCTTCTCTTTGTACTCATATATTCTTCCCATTACTCCCAACCTTCCTTTTTCTCTCTGATTGAGAGGCATTGAATTACGTTTTCAGTAGTACAGGCTTCTTGCCGATATGAAGGGAACTTTTCAGAAAGAGACCTACTCTGGGTCATTTAATTTTGAATACAGTTTTCAATCGTTCAAGTTTTGGATGGTTTATATCTAATGTGTGTTTCATTTTTTTGGAAAGCTATATTTTGTATTTAGGAAATGGTATACTATTTTGCTATTTGTACTGAGTGAGTACATTGGCATAAATATAGAAATTTATATATATACATATATATAAACTATTCTTTTTTGCCACACATTTTTGTGGTAAATTTGTGAGTTTGTCTGATGTTCTACCACAACGTGGCGTCTGATAACAGTGGGGGGGGGGGGGGTGTTGTTATGTCTTTATTGAGTATTTAAGTATCTTTTGAAACAAATGACCTGTTTATCTGTGGCCATTCCATCAGGCAGTTCTTTGATGTTCCTAGTGGGCTAAAGGCAGCTTACTGTGTGTTTGCTGGATACTCAGCAAAATGTTAGAGTAAGGAAACCCATCTAGGCAGTTGTGTCAAATGGTGTTTCACAAGAATGAGCCATTCAGTCTTTGCTCACTATATATTTAATATTTTATTATTGTTATTATTATTAATTGGCTTTCTGTGTTCTATGCTTTTTTATTTATAAAGACACTAAAAATGTTTGTAATTTTAATAACATTTTCCCCATCTTGTAATATCCAGAGCTACTTTATAAATTCTCTGAACTGAAAGCATTTTCCTCAATATATCTCTTCTCCCCCCCACCCTTACCGAGAAAAATTACTCAATATAGTGCAGGTTAGGAGAAAGGCCAGCCACACAATCCAGCGCTTCAGTTTTAAAATGTAAAACTCCAACTACAGAGGGTTAACAAATGCCAGAAAGCTTATCCAGCAAGTATAAAAATAAGTAGAAATAAAATACTCTAAGTTTATTTCTGAGTTTTCTGAACTCTTTTCTAAGAGATATACAGGAGACTCGAGAAGTCTATTTGTTCACCAAATTCTAATTAGAATGTTAACATTGCTCTATGGATTAAGTGGTGGCAAGAAGACTGGCTGTGTGCTGATTTCTATTGTTTAGCAAGAGGTTTATCATTATAAAATGCTGATTGCCAATGCCAAGTCACCAGGGACCAATTTTCTGTTTTATAATATCTAAGTTTAGAACAGAACATACACCTGAATGGTTTGATTGGACAGAAGCAGAAAACCCAGTTTTTATTTTCATAAAATTTGTGGTTATTTATACAAGGGCTGTGCTATGCTACCATATTCTTATTCAATAATGATATTGTTATTATTATTTTTTTAACATTGTTAAATGTTCCTTACCCCTAAAGGTCAATGTTAGGTACAGCATTCTGAATATACAATTTGGTTACAAAAGTATTTATCTTCTTATTGAAGAGTTAGCTTAGTGGTCAGTGGTTGATACTTGTGCTAATAATACAGTTTCCAGATTACTGTTACAAGTTATTTATGGCAGAAGGTCTTAAGTAAGTTATGAACCACATTTTATTCCTTTGTATTATTCCATTCAATTGTTCTTGCTTTTAGCAACTCATATTAATGCTTGGAGCTTATCTCTGTCTGTGTTAGTGTTTGTGTGTGTTTTATTCCTCACTGTCATTTCATTATATATCCACACCAACATGGGAGAAGATAATTAGAAGTCATATTTTGCTTCTGAGCTTTATCATGTTACCTTTGTAGTTAGAGTCATGTTGTTATTTAGCCAATGCAAATCTGTTTTCACCAGTCTCCCTAGAATAGGCTTTGTAGAGGGCTTTGTTATAGAAGCAGTATTATTGAGGGACCTTCATTCTTTTCTTCCCTCCTTCCTTCCTTTTTCCCCTCCTTCCTTTCTTTTTTCCTTTCTTGTCCTCCCTTCCTCCTCCTCCTCCGCCGCCTCCTCCTCCTCCGCCTCCTCTTCTTCTTCCTCCTTTTTCTCTTTCTTTTTGTAATACTGTATATGCTATAGTTGGGAATTTTATTATATGTGTATTTCTGGCCCATCAGAACTTCATTTAATCTGCTAAGGGGAAGTTGTGTCCAAGGAAATGAGAAAGTAGTTACAGCTGAGTCCCTCTAGAATTAAGATAATTCCTTTTGACTAAGCCATTCTGGATGCTTGTTTTGGAAAAGTAAGATCTGTTTAGACTCAGCACTAATTAAAAAACAGAATTAGATGCTTTAATTAATAAGTCAAAGTCTCAAATTCAATATGACTTAAAAATATTCACCAGAAGTAACTTGAGAATTTTTCATCTTTCTGGTGAAATTTTCTGTTCCAATATCTGTTTCCTACTTGATTTTTTTTTAATCAATTGAAAATTATATGAAGACCTGTGAGCTTTACTTAGCTTCATGACCACAGGCTGAATCCCTAGCCAAGACAACCATGTTATAGCTGTAAGCCTTTGGTTATATGCAGGGAAGGACTTAATGAAAGAGAGAGACTGAATAGTTTAGCAGCTCTATTAGAATAATAACTTAGAGAATATACCCTACTAAGTGGTTTAGTAAAACCTAATAACATATATAAAAAGGTTTTCTCCTCTGCTTATTTGTATCAGTAGAACTAAATTGTGGAGATAATGTTCCTAATGTAGTAAATGTCAAAATAATACCTACCATGTAATTTGTGAATTGTCCCAGGGCTATAATTACTTTAGTCCCCATTGATTTTCATGCCATTCTAGCCTCACTTATTAATGAAATTATATTTTTATTCTACTTTCTCTTTTGGACATTTTAAAATTAATATAAGTATCTAAATCAAATAAGAGAGTGTCTTTTACGATGATAGTGTACTTTTTCACTATAGCCAAAAATACGTTATTTTAATAGGTCCTAGTTTGAACTTTTCCACGTAGTCATTCTCTTTTCTTTGTTTCTTTCTTTTCTTTTTGAAGATCTAATTGGTTTTATTAAGCAGTTCATGAATTGGGCAGCATCCCATCCAGCAACCATAGAAAGGCACGATAAGGGGTTGTGCCAAATGGAAGGTTTTTATAGCTCTTTTTCTTAACACAGGAAACAACTTCGTAAGTTTCTAACTTCTTTTTGCATAAGAGTAACATAAAAGATACATTACCAGAATCATTCCTGTGAGGGAGGGTAAGTAAAAGATTACAGAATTATACTATTTAGGTTTTATATAAATTAACTAAATTTGTCTTCATCTCAGCCAACTAATGATAGGTCTTACTTGAATGCTAATGAAAATTTTACTACCTGTGAGACTCCATGCACACAAATGTGTGTAGTTAAATTTCAGGAGGTGTTCAAAGCATCTTCTGTGACCTTAATTAGATGAGTGAAAACAAGTCACAAACACATAGTTTAAATAAAATCTGGTAATGTCAGTTTTTCTAACTAGACAGGGCCAACTAATTAATTATAGTGCACTTCTTGCTCATCAGAGCCTCAGTAATCTACCTATGAAAGACAGTGTTAAAAGAAATGAAGAAGTTATATTGGAGTCTATCCAGATCTAAGATCTGAATTGAGTGACCCTCTGGTTTTTGTTAATTTTGCCTATGTTCCATCCAGCTCCTTATCACGATTGTGGTGCCTGAAGAAAGGACCATCAATGACAGGTCAGGATAGAATTAGCTTTGGGATGAACTGCTTTCCTCATGTGAGTATTCCATGGTTGTTAGTGACACTGAAGACTGCAGACATTTATGCAATATTCCTAATACCCTATTGACATTATGCACTTTAATCATTCCAAAGAAGTCAAGAATGCTGTATAGTGATGATTTCTTCTTAATGAATACATCTTATCTATTTAGAATATTTATGTCCCTTTTTATTTTGGACAGTAAGAATAAGTGTTATGTGAATATTTTCTAAAATGATTATAGTAGGACTTAGACTTTGAAATGTAATTGACTATAAGGGGAAATAATTACACTTCAGAAAATCATTTTAGAAAATATGTTTGAGAGTTAATTAAACCCAGCCCTCTTCCTATATATTTTATGTCATGTACATAAGAACATTACAGTATATAGTTTTCTACATATATAATATGTATAATCCAGTGGTTCTCAAAATATGTCCTTAGCCTACCAGCTAACATCAGTATCATGTGGGAACTAGTCAGAAATGCAAATTCTTTGGGCTTCTCCCAGACACTCTGAATCAAAAACTCTGGAGTGGGGCACAGCAGTCTGTTTTAACACCCTCCAGGTGGTTCTGGTGCATGCGTGAAGTTTGAGAACTATTGGTATAAACTATTTACAATAAGATCTAGAAAGCTGGTTTTTCCCTACTCATATAGATAGTTATATTTTGTTCTCTATGTAAATTCAGCTTGACTTGGTTATTCATAATCCTTTATTGGCAATGATAACTTATTCTCCATACTGCTTATAGTATATTTTATGTATATATGCAGTTAGTCTAGTTATTGATATTTCAGTTAACCTAGTTGGTCATATTCCTACCACTTACTAAAAAGTTTACATTAAGTGACTGATTTAAAGATATAGGTGCAATGTTTTATATTTCTTTTAGTTGTTATGACATTTAAGTAGCTAATATAATTGACAGGTGCTAAATTGTTCTGTTTATGCATAAAATGGGTACATTGTTGGCAGTAATAATACAAGCTTTTTTTTTTTTTTTTTTCATTGCCTCTTATTTTACCAGCAGACAACAATTTTGATGTGGCTAGGCCAACTCTCAGAACAAATTTGTCATTCCTATATTTATATTTGTATCTGAGATATTAAACAAGATGATTGGCCAGATCAACAAAGCACCTTATTTAATTTTTTTTTTAATACATGAAAATTCTTTAAAAGTAGCTTGCTTAGGATGAGAACTGCTGCAGTAGAGTTATAACTATCCTTGGAATTTATGCTTCAGACAATAATTATTTACTAAAATAAATCTTAAACAAGACAGTAATGCATTATATAATTTGGGCATTTCTCCCTTGTCAATGTATGCACCATGGTAAATATAAACTAATCACCACAAGTCAAGTGATTTATTCATTCATTTTCATCTTCCTGTGTAATTTAATACCTCTGTAATTGTTCTAATCTTCCTCCCGCTGTTTACAAGTCAATTAATTAACTCATGAAAGAAAAATGCACATTTCAAACTAAAACTAATTTTATACTCTATAAAAATCACACTGCTTAATGCTAGCAGTGGAAATGTAAGTGGCTTACTCTACAAACTATGGTGCTGGCAGATACATAGGCAAACCGTTGGGAGATGCTCTAGTACATTCCTCCTTTCTTGTTCCCTTTCCTCTTTCTCCCCACTTGATTGCTTAATAGTATTCCTGTGCCCAAAACACTCTACCATAATTCTCTTTGACTTTAACTTGTAATATCTCTTTTAAAAGCCCATATTTAAGCCTCATATCACCCCTGCTCTTTTTTCTCCCAGAAGTAATTTGCCTGATTTGAATAGCTCGTGGGGATCACTTGTTATTTTAGCTAATGAACCTCAGGACAGCACACACACACACATACACACACACACCCCATCTCAGATGTTTGAGAATGGAATTGGAATCAGACTAATGTGTCCAATAAAGACTGTCCTGCACTGAAGTGATTATGACTTCAGGGACTACAAACTGATTCCAATGACATTCAGGTAATTTCTTTTCATCTAATGAATGTATCTTCTCACCTTGTTCCCTAACTTCTAATTGATAAGCTCCAAGTAGTTGCTAATTTTTTGACACCTTTTACTTCATCTTCTTAATAAATATATTACAAGTATTTCATTTAACCGATTCTCAAGTGGTTTAACTACCATTCTGCCATTTAAGTTTTATTTGCTTGAGCACACTGATCAACCACTGAACTGCCTTCTTCCATTGTCCTACAATGACTATTTTTGTGTATGTGGCTTTCATAGTTGGGGTTGCAGAGCACTGACAGATATTTTCAGTTTGTTCTCTGGGGGAATTTTTTTTGCATCTATGTTTTTAGCTATCTGTGATAACTTGTTAAATATTAAAAAGATATTTTGCTTCTATTGAACATTTGTATACTCGCAACTATATTTCTGTAAACAGCTGCAGTCAAAAATAAAAAAATTGAAAGTTTTCATTTTGCAGTGGGTAACTGTCTTTTTTCCTCAAACTTTGTGGATGAACTCGTATCCATAAATGTCATTTTTGAGCAGCAGAATGCCATTTTGCTGACATTATAAAATCATTAGGAAAAGGTATGAAATATAGACATATTTTCAAGTAGTTATTTTGTGCCTACTGTTAGTGTACAAAGTGCTTAGTGTGATCAATTTGTTTGTTTTACAGAGTTTAAATGTTTCATGCTTAAATTAGTGTTTATTAGAATATAACATATAACATCACTCAAAATGATTTCAGGTGATACATGGGAAACATTTTTAAAAACATAGTATATGTTTTAATGTACACTAGAAAAAATATAATGTGTATACCTACTAGACTATAGGGAGATATGAACCAAATTAAAGAAAAATATTAAGACTTGGCTGATGTGGCTCAGTTGGTTGAGCACATCCCATGTATCTAGAGGTTGCCAGTTCAATTCCCAGTCATGACACCTGCCCAGGTTGCAAACTTGATCCTCGGAAGGGGGAGTGCAGGAAGCAGCCAATCGATGTTTCCCTTTCTCTCTCAAATCAATATATATATATTTATTTATTTTAATATATTTTATTGATTTTTTTTTTTTACAGAAAGGAAGAGAGAGGGATAGAGAGTTAGAAACATCGATAAGAGAGAAACATGAGAAAATAATTTATTTCAACAATGTTGTCAACATTAAAAATACGTTTAAAAATTGTCTTCTTATGGCTATTGACTTTAACAGTTATAAGAGAATAACCAAATGAAATTTAAATATCAAAAAAATACTTTGGTCCAGCCCTAGCCAGTTTGGCTCAGTGGATAGAGCATTGGCCCGCGGACAGAAAGGTCCCAGGTTCAATTCCGGTCAAGAGCACATGCCTGGGTTGTGGGCTTGGTCTGACATGCAGGAGGCAGCCAATCAATGATTCCCTCTGATCACTGATGTCTGTACTTCTGTCTTCCTCTCCCTTCCTCTCTGAAATCAATGTTTTTAAAAATATTAGAAAAAAAATACTTTGATCCAGAAAAACAACATATGTGGGCAAAAGACTAATCTGAAGATGAGACTGCAGAGGCCACCAGAAAAGCCGATGCAGTCCTGGTTCATGTAATTCAAATCACAGTATCCAGAGCAAGGGAAGTAGTTGTCCCGCTTTACTCCAGGCTGGTAAAAATACTGCTCTGCCATCTTGTAAGGAACAAATTCTCCGCAGCCATATCATCAGACCTATAAGAACTGAAATGCGATTTATCCTGCTTGTGACACAACAGGAACTCTAGCAGTACAAAAGCAGCTTCAGTCTCAACAGCGACACTGAATGGTCTTGTTCTGAGGAAGAGGTATTGATTGCTACTCTTGCTCTCTCTTTCATGGTACCATTGTCTCTGCTTTTACTGAGGGAGTATAATGTAACTAGAGGCCTGATGCAGGAAGTTTATGCAAAGAGTGGGCCTCCCTTACCCCAGCTGCCAGCACAGGCTTCCCTTAAAGCCCCGGCTTCATCCGGAAGGTAGTCTGGAAGGGCGTCCAGTCTAATTAGCATATTACGCTTTTATTATGACAGATATTTTAAAGCATAGGCTCTTGAGTTTGCCTTCTTTAGGTGGAATTTTGGCCCCTATACCTATTTAACCTCTCTATTCCTCAGTTTCTTATCTATAGCATGGAAACAAAAAGTGGACTCTCTTCAGAGTTTTATCAAGAATTAAGTAAATTAACCCATGTAAAATTACTTAGTTCCTAGCACACATAAATACCTTGTGTTATTTTAAAATATATATATATATTTTATTGATTTTTTACAGAGAGGAAGAGAGAGAAATAGAGAGTTAGAAACATCGATGAGAGAGTCATCGATCAGCTGCCTCCTGCACCACCCCCACTGGGGATGTGCCCACAACCAAAGTACATGCCCTTGGCTGGAATCGAACCCGGGACCTTTCAATCCGCAGGCTGACGGTCTATACACTGAGCCAAACCAGTCCCGGCAAATGCCTTGTGTTATTATTATTAGGCCTGTTATTACTGTTCTGTCTCCTGTGTACTGGATCCCATATCCTTTTGTCTTTTCAAAGACTTGTTCTTTTAACTGTCCCCTTTTTTCCAACATCAAAACCTTCTCTCTCTGAGTCCTTCTCACTGGCACATAAATGTCCCTTATCTTTTAGAATGTCAAATAAATAACTCCCTTCAACCACACACACTGTTTCCACTTCCTCTCCTTCTATTCTTGAACCCATTCTAATCAGGCTTTTATCACAATACTCTACTGAACTGATTCTTGTCAAAGCCCACAATGGCCTCCAAGTGGCCCTGTCCAAAGGTCAGTTCTCCAGCCTCGGTTACTTGGCTTACCGGCAGTATTTGGCACACTGACCACTCCCTCCTTGAAACACCCTCTTCACTCTGCTTTCGGGACACCACACTCGGCTGCCCTGCTTCACGTACACAGAGTGAGGAGAAGGCAATGGAAAATATTTTCACCAAACTGAAGCACCAAGCCATCTGTCATTGTGGATATTTTAAAAGGAAAAAATACCCGGTGATCTGGCACCTGAGGTTCTCTGGCGCCTGGCCCCATCCTTTCCGTGGCCGGTATGCAACTAGTCCCAGTTTCCGGCCACCTTGTTTTGCATCATTTGTTGTTTTCTTGCCATGCACCACAAGAGGGCAGGCTTTCATCATACTCTACTTGAATTATACCAACTGTGTGGCGCTGTACTTAGCAATTTCTATGTGAAACTAGAATATTGTGCCAAAATTGTTCACCAAAGTAAAATGAAACACAGGCTTACAGTTTTATCCCAAAAGTCATGTGACCAAAATACATCCTTAAACGGAAAGTCATCAGTTTATCAATGATATAGAAAAAAATTTTCATGTGGTTTTATAAATCACATATACAGCAGTGTTTGTGGAAGGTTATTTTTAAGAATTGGGGCACTATTTCCTATTTTGAATTCATTCATTGTGGCAAATTGTAGTACACAGATGTATTGTTTTATCCCTGCAGACATTAAATTAGAAGATTGAGACAAAGGAGACTTTTATTAGCTTTTCATCTCAAGGCACCTGTGTGTACTGTATACAAACAACAGAAATTTAAGGAAAGAGAAACACTCAGATTAGGCATATCAGTCACTATGTAGTAATTTGAATCAATGTGTATCACAAACAAACATAGATTATTAACCAGACAAGTCCCTTAAGTCTGACAGATTCAGTCACTGCTTTCTCTGGGCAATTCCCTTTTGCTGCAAACCACAGAGAGATAATTAAAAGAAAAATAGATCATTGAAGAGTTGGATGTTTTATAGCCAGATTTAACCCTAAAAATGTGTCCCTAAGAGAAGGATTAAATTGTATACAGGACCTTAAAGAATACTTTCTAGCACCTTTCTATACCTTTGCCCTACTTTATATTTTAAATGTCCTCTTGAGCCTAATCAAGTTTTGCCATGATAGCAATTGTAAAAATCAGTTATGTTAAAAAAAAAAAAAAAAGAAAGAAAGAAAACTACCAAAAAATGTATGAATAGTCTAATCTCTCTTATATTTATTCCTCTTGGAAAAAAGAAAAGCACACACAAATCTTAAAAACTAAAGGAAGCCTGGACAAGAAACCTAGCCTTGGCTACATTTTAGAAGGAAACCAAGCCTTTGTGAGTCTTACTTTCTGGCTTTGATCTGGTTGTCATTCGGGATGGACTTGCCCAAGTGATGGCCCACAGAGAGGCCACACTTCTTATCTTTCTGCTCTTCCAGGACCTCCTTTTTCAGTAAGAATCCTGCCTGGAAGTTTAGGTCAAAGAAACTACTTGGAGCAAAATAGAGTGGCGTCTCATCCCAGATGCTCTCCAGGCGCCTCTTCCATCCCTCCAGGACCTGAAGTCGGGCGTCTGCGGGAATGTGCCCAACGCTGTATGTCAGTTGAGGTTCTAAGACCTGGAAGCCGCAGAAATGCAGAGTGCCGCTCTGGGGATACACAGAGCACAGAGGTGAGTCACTACAAACCCCCAACAGTCTGTGCCACCTACAAACCACCAAGGTGCCTCTGGGCTTTCCAGCCAGACGCCGACGTGGAGGCGGAGGCACCCCACAGACGCAGTTCAGAACTGGATTCTCTCACCTTCTGCTCCCAGTCCTAGCTGCCTGTTACCTAGTTTAGCCTATTCCGCTGAGCTTTTCTTCATAGGAATAAGACCTTGAACCTGTGCCAGCCTAGGATCCTCTGCCAGAAGTGTCAGAAGTTCTGTTCCATGAGGGACAGTTGCAGCTGCGTGGCAGCCGCTCCCTTGCCTGCTGCTCCCTGCCTCTCCATAGAACTAGATGAATCTTAACAAACGGTGCTTATCATCCGTTCTCCAGCAGGAATATTAATTCTCCAGGATTATAAGTGGCTGCCTCATTTGCTCGTCTCTTCAAATCCCTCTTCCTGAGAAGAGATTATCTTGAGAGCCCAGTGACCTCCAAAAATCATACTTCAGACTTCAGTGTTAATCAGTGAACTAAAACATTTCTTAAATTGGGGTGAAGGGCACTCTAATAGTCTATGAGACTTTTCTTGGAGAAGGGTAGGAAGATTGGAGAGATGTCAGTCCCCTGGAGAGAATCAGACCACATGGCTGCACTAGTGCTTGGTTAGGAGAGGTGTGCACACGGGTTATTCTGTAAGCACAGGGGCCTGGGAAGACAGGTACGTCGTAAAAGGAAGCTCCCTGTAGTTCTGAGTCATTACCATGCTTTCATCTCAGGTCTGTTTTCAGTTATCTTAAGGATCTGGACCCCATAGAAAGCTCAGTTAGGTAATCCCCCCAAAAGGTTCACTGAAAATGAGGTACCTGAATTGGCCAGAGGATGATATTCATGTCCCCATGGACTCCCTGCAGAGAGTACATGGAGTCGCTGCCCCCAGTGGTGAAGGACAGCACTGCCTTCTTATTCTGTAAAGAAAAGACATCACCCTGAGCATCTCCTTGGTGACAGGGAGCTAACGAAACAGCCCCAGGGAGAACACACACATTCACCCATCTGCTACGGATGTTACTTCACACGCTGGCTCCTCTGAGCCACTCAGTATGACTCTGCAGAAGCACCTGTCTGGAAGGCGGAGCCACAGACAGACAAGTGAGCAGGGGCAAGCCAAGGATTCCACATTCCTGGGTGTGGCAGATCCGTGGAGATGGTTATGAAAATGCAAAATCAGTATTGACTGCTGGTGCCTAGGAGTTACTTGTTTACTGTTTTATTCTGTCTCCCTACAGTGCTAGGCACAGATCTAGGCATGTAAACTTAGAAGGTCTCAAATGTGTAGTATTTGGGTCTCTGAAAAATGAAGAAAGACTATTTTTACTATGGAACATTTCAAACATAAAGAAAATAGTACAGTTGGCCCTTGAACAATGCAGGGGTTAGGGTACTACCTCCCCCCCCCCCCCCCATCACAGTAAAAAAATCTACATATTACTTTTGCCTGACCAAAAATGTAACTGCTAATAGCCTCCTGTTGACTGGAAGCTTTACCAATGTGAACAGTGGATTAGCATATATTTTTGTATGTTTTATGTATTTAGACTCTATTCTTAAAGTAAGCTAGAGAAAAGAAAATGACATTAAGAAAACATAAGGAAGAGAAAATACATTTACAGTTTTTATTGGGGGGGAAATCCGCATCTAAGTGGACCTGTGCAGTTCAAACCCGTGCTATTCAAGGGTCAACTGTATAATGATGCATCTACCACCCAGCTTTACCCCTCGGCAGATATCCATTCTAGTTTTATCTAACCCCCTTACCTCTCTTCCCCGGGGGTATTTTAAAACAAATCCTAAAACATCATGTCAAAATGTCTGTTAAAACTTAATTATGCATCTCTTTCAAAGGGACCTGGAGCCGGACCGTGGTATCTAATTGTGCTCAGAACTCTGCCTCAGGACCGAGTCTCCCAGCACCCAGATGTTAGAAAAAGCAGAACCATCCACCTACCCGGAAAGGCCCCTTGTCATACATGGCAGCGTATGTGTAAGCAAACTCCCCGATGAGCACTCGCTCAAACCAGCCTTTCAGGATGGCCGGGACTCCAAACCACTGCAGTGGGAACTGTGGAAGAAGCGACAAAGGTCAGGTGGGGCCGGCCCCAGCACAGAAGAAGGCTCGGGGTCCCCAATGAAGGTGAACCTTTCTTCAGGTCCCATAGCATTCCTTCTGGAGGAGACAGTGCATTTAGAGACAAGAATCATCATTAGTCAGTCAGCCTGACACTCATGTTTCTATAATACCTAAAGGTACAAATGTTGGTTAGGTCTGAAGAAGGCCACATGCAAATATTTTTTTTCTATGAAATCATGTTTGCAATGCAGATTAGACAGCACAGACTCCAGACCAACGTGTGATACCTAAATCAATATTTTCTCAAGTGCTTGTTTTAAAGGTTTGGTATCAAAAATAGGAAGCAGCCCTAGCTGGTTTGGCTCAGTGGATAGAGCGTCGGCCTGTGGACTAAAGGATCCCAAGGACACATGCCTGGGTTGCGGGCTTGACCCCACCCTCAGTAGGGGGCAGGCATGAGGTAGCCAGTCAATGATTCTCTCTCATCATTGATGTTTCTATCTCTCTGTCCCTCTCCCTTCCTCTCTGAAATCAATAAAAAAAAAAAATTTTTTTAATGAAGCATGTACCTTGTGCTCACAAATGTAAAAATCCTATCAGTTAGAATAAACAGAACCACTCAGATTTGCAAACAAATGATCAGTGTGACTAAGGTTTATCGGGGAATTCCCATGAGAAAGTCTTGTTGGGACTTTTGTCCTGATAAAAGCAGAGCAAGAACTATATCAGTATTTCTTCTCCTTGACTCATGATTTAAAGGCAAAGGCAATGGAACAAGCCCAGACGGGAAACATCTAGGACACAGAAGGAATTTGTAGGAATTGATAGCACTCGCTTTGAAAAGATTGCAAACCTATAGAAAAGGAGCTAAGGAAAAAGGATTTTAGAACAGAAAGGACACCGGATTGAAAGTGAGTTGTGTTCTCACCCTGAATCTGTCACTAACTTGATGCCTGACCTTTGCCACACAAACCCCTGACCATGTGCTTCATCTACAGAAGGTGGGGCTTGAATGATCCCTAGCAGCGTTTCCTAGTCTTACATTTATGGCTCTCCCTCTGACAGGGGCCAGGTCTGCAGCTTTTAGGAAGAACGGATAGGTAGGGAGTCTAGGCAAGTAGATTAGCTTCCCTTGGATGTGCTGCAATCCGAGTTGAAAATAGATATGGTTGGCTTGCAGGGTTTTAAGAGCTGACTCTCCCTCAAGTTGTTTTTGGAGAAGTGAGTAAACTGAGCAGGGGACTAGCCCATATGGCACCTTGGCATGAATTAAAGCACTCCTTCCCAGGACACATTATTCCCACGTTGAAAGCCTATCATACATAGTAGATTAATTTTTCTAGAATTAGACTTTTCCTGTCATCTGTCGGGAAACTGTTTTAATAAATATACAGTGCTTACATTGCCCTTTAGTATGTTGCTATTTTGTGGTGACAACTTGCACAGTTGTACTGACAGGATAGTAAGGAAAACATATACATTGGATGGAAGCTAAATTAAAAGACCACCGAAGTCGCCAAAACCAGTTTGGCTCAGTGGATAGAGCGTAGGCCTGCAGACTGAAAGGTCCCAGCTTCGATTCCGGTCAAAAGCATCCCCAGTAGGGGCTGTACAGGAGGCAGATGATGGATGTTTCTCTCTCATTGATGTTTCTAACTATCTCTCTCCCTTTCTCTCTCTACGAGATCAATAAAAAATATATTTTAATAAAAGACCACCGAAGTCCTTTCCAATTCTAAAATAGAGTGATCCTGAGATGCGGGGTTGAAAGCTGCTACTGCTGCTGCCTTGGCTGTGCTAGGATAAGAAAGACACAGTAGACAACCAAGAAGGCATCCTTCATAGCTAATGGCTGTGGCTTCGATTCATGGCATCAGGCCTCTGGTAGAAGGAGACTGCAGAGGTTGGCTTCTTTGCAGATGGCTGAGTAATTGCAAAAACCACAGCCAGTATCACCCTTATGATGTTTCCACTGTCATATACATTCCATGTTCAAGATCAAGAAGCTAGTTGGAATCGATAGAAACAAAGTCATTGAGTACACTCTGGTATTTAAAAAAAAAAAAAAAGATGGTTTACGAGAGGCATATGCATTTCCAGCACTGACTGCTGAATGGGGAGGTGGCTTCCAAAAGAAAGGCCATGGTTTGCCGCTGAAACACAGTAATCAGGATGATGCATATCAGCTGGTATCACTCCACAAACTGGCCAGATGCTTACAGAGAGGGGGAGAAGGCAGACTTCACCGAGAGGTCCCAGGAAGAATCACTAATTGGTTTGCTGCAGCATTATTTACAATAGCCAAGATATGAAAGGAACCTAAGTATCCATCAATGGAAAAGCGGATAAAGAAGATATGGTACATATACACAATGGAAAATTAGCCACAAAGAAGAATGAAGTCTTACCATTTGCAACAGCATGGATTGACCTAGAGGGTATTGTACTAAGTGAAATAAGACAAAGACAAGCACCATGTGATTTCACTTACATGTGGAATCTAAAGAACAAAATTAATGAAAAAAATAATGCCGAGACCGGTTTGGCTCAATGGATAGAGCGTCGGCTTGGGGACTGAAGGGTCCTGGGTTCGATTCTGGTCGAGGGAATGTACCTTGGTTGCGGGCATATCCCCACTAGGGGGTGTGCAAGAGGCAGCTGATCGATGGCTCTCTCTCATCAATGTTTCTAACTATCTCTCTCCCTCTCTGTACAAAATCAATAAAATATATTTTTAAAAAATAGGCTCATAGTTACAACAGACTGATGGTTTGCCAGAGGGAAGAGGGTGGGGAAGCTGGGTAAAAAGGTGAAGACATTAAGAAGTACCTATTGGCAGTTACAAAATAGTCATGAGGATGTAAAGTACTGCATAGCAAATGTAGTTAATAATCTTGTAATACTAAGTATAGTCCCAGGTGGGTACTAGACTTATGGGGGGGGGGGGGGGGGGAATCACCTCATAAGTTATATGTCTACTAGAGGCCCAGTGTATGAAAATTCATGCACTGGAGGGGGAGGTCCCTCAGCCCGGCCTGCCCCGTCTCAGTCCGGGAGCCCTCAAGGGCAGGAGGTGACCCGGCCATCAGGGGAAGGCGATGTCCCATCACACCTCTGCTGCTGCCACTGCTGGCAGCGCAAGCCTCGGCTGGCCCTGGTTACCTGAGCCTCAGGCAACCTTGGGCAGCTGGGCAGTCGCCATCCAAAGCTTGCCTGCACCTTGGGCTGACCCTGGGCGGCTGGGGGGCTGAGGGAACTGGACCCCACCATCTTATGGCTGTGGGCACTGCCATCTTTGAGAGCATGGCAGTAAATTAGCATATTCCCTCCTTATTGGCTGTGGGCACTGCCGTCTTTGAGGGTGGGGCAGTCAATTAGCATATTCCCTCCTTACTGGCTGTGTGTGCTGCCATCTTTGCGATGGTGTGAGGGTTGGTTAGCATATTCCCTCGTTATTAGATAGGATAACCACTATATTGTATACCTGAAACTAATATAATATTGAATGTCAACTGGAATTGAAAAAATTTTTAAATCACTAATTGGAAAAAAAAGAATAAGACTGACACCTCATCTTTGAAGTCGCATTCATATTTTTAGAGTAACACAGTCCGATTCACAGCATCTGTAAATCTGTGTAATGCTGTACATTTGAAGCAATGACCTTTTTTTTTTTTTTTTTTTTAACAGAGAATGCAGTAAAGGGGGTGACTTTTCTAAGATCACATTGCTAATTAGATGGCAGGTCTAGGACAATAAGAATTCAAATGTTCCACCCAGGCCAATATGGCTCCATTGGTCAGAGCATTGTCCAGTGCCCCAAAGGATTGTGGGTTTGATTCCCAGTCTGGACACATACTCAGGTTATGGGTTCAATCCCTGCTCAGGGAGGATCCGGGAAGCAACTGATCAATGTTTTTCTTTTTCTCTCTCCCTCCCTCCTCTCCCCCTTTCCTCTCTCTCAAATTTATAAAAACATATCCTCGGGTGAAGATTTAAAAGAAAGAATTCAAGTGTCCCAACACCCTTCTGATGTCCTACCACACCTGAAAAATCACAAGGTCTGCAGCTTCCAGCTTCTTTTGTTCAGCCACAATATCTGGGCTCAGACGGCCTTCTTTGTAAGCGAGAGTAGACTCGACAGGATACTTAAAGTTCTCGGGGTCCTTCAGTTTACCTGCAGGGAGGAAAAAGAGTGGTTGAGGCCTTAGGGCCAGGGTGGGACCAGAGAACCCACGGGCGAGAAGTTCCACAAAGACCTAACCAAAGGGGAGAGCGGAGAGCGGCTCCTACCTGTAATGTCCTTCCTGGAGATGACGGGGTTGAAGTTCATGTCATACAGGTCCGACACCGTGACTTCCCATCCTTTCCTCTTCAGAGCCTCCACAGCCGCTTCCTTCATGGCGTAGTTGAAGGATGTCTTCTCTGAGTGAGCCAGTACGATCAATGCTTTTCTGCCTATTTTGACACACCCAAAGCATGTGGTAAAAAAAAAAAATGAGTTACCAGCCTATCGGATTGGCAAAACAACTTAGGACAAGCGACATCAAGGGCTATCAAGATTGCAGAAACACTGGCGCATTGCCAGCGGGAATATCAATGACCTCAGCCTTTAAGGAAGTCATCAGGCTGAAACTCTTAGAATTTTATTTATTTATTTATTTATTTATTTTTAAATTATTTTATTTTATTTTTTATTTTTTTATTTTTTAAACATATTTTATTGATTTTGTACAGAGAGGAAGGGAGAGAGATAGAGAGTTAGAAACATCGATGAGAGAGAGAGTCATCGATCAGCTGCCTCTTGCACACCCCCTACTGGGGATATGCCCGCAACCAAGGTACATGCCCTTGACCGGAATCAAACCCGGGACCTTTCAGTCCCCAAGCCGACGCTCTATCCATTGAGCCAAACCAGTCTCGGCGTGAAACTCTTAGAATTTTAAAGGCACATAAACCTTTGATCTAGCCCTCCAACTTCAGGGACTTTGTTCTCCAGACTGAAAGCATCAGGACACAGGAACAAGGATATGTACTGTCCCATTCTTGCCATTGGCAAAAATCAGAACCCTATTGTCTATTTTTGGGGGAAGCATTTAAATAAATTATGGTACATACATTCTACATAATATTATGCTGTTAACCAGAATGAGCCCTAGCTGGTTGGACTCAGTGGATAGAGCATCAGCCTTCTAACTGAAGGGTCCTGGGTTCGATTCTACTTAAGGGCTCATACCCAGGATTTGGGCTTGATCCCCTGTAGGGGGCATGCAGGAGGCAGCCAATCAATGATGTGTTCTCTCTCTCTTTCTCTCTCTCTCTCTCTCTCTCTCTCTCTCTCTCTCTCTCCTTTCCTCTTTGAAATCAAATTATGTATAAAAAAAAAAAGAATGAATTAACTATATATTATATATACAGGGACCCAGAAAGATATCCAGGATATATTAACTGATGAAGTGAATGTGAATCCATTTTTTTTTAAAAAAAACTATATATAGGTTGTCCCTAAAAAATGTAGCACACTTTAACAGTTGACACCTGTTAAATGGAAATGAAATATCTCTCTATATAAAAAACCCTATATATGCAAATAAACTGAACAATGGAACAACTGAACAATCAGACAATCAGTCACTATGGTGTGTGCTGACCACCAGGGGGCGTGTGTGGAACATGGCGGGCGTTGGCAGCAGGCAGCAGAGCATGGAACATGGCAGGCAATGGCAGCAGCAGGATGGTGGAGCAGATGAGCAGGGACACCAGACACAGCGGACACCGATGGCTGTCATCGGAGTGAGCCTCTGGTGGTCACTGAAAATTATTTGCTCCCGTGAGGGGTGCTTGCACCTGCAGCCAGCACTGGCCCCGCTTGCATCCGCTGTTGGCGCCAGAGCCACCACTCACACCCGCTGCCAGCAGCACCTTCAGCAGTTAAAAACAGCGGCTGCCACCCTAATTGCCCCTAAGGACTTCTCCACCTTCCCCTGCTCCTGAGGGGCGATCAGGGCAGCAGCTGCAGCTCACACCCACTGATGGCACAGAGCAATTGGGGCTGGCACTGGCAGCACATGGGAGTGGCAGCAGGAGTGGGGCTGCTAGCAGGGGACTGGTGGGGGGAGGAGGGTCTGTGGTGAGAGGGGCCAGGTGGGGGCAAGGGTGGGGTTGTGGAGGATGGGATGAGACCCACCCCTGTGCCCACCACAGCCTCATGGCCCACAGTTCCTTTCAAGGTGCATGAATTGGTGCACTGAGCCCCTAGCATTTTAATAAACACTGTCTTTATAGTTATTCAAAGTGTGTGTATACATTTTTGGAGACACCCTGGACATGCAGGTAGATTTGCACTATATTGGTGTGAGGGGGAAAAGATGTGGAATGATCAGACGAAGCTATTAATGGTTTTCTTAGATAAGTAAGAGGTGACAAAAGGGCTGAGGGGAAAGAGGAACTTTTTCTTGGCCACATCTGTATCAGTGACGTTGTTGGAATCAGCACGCCTTGCTTTTGCACTAACAGCAGGTACCAGCTGCTTATTTTGTGCTGGGCACTGCTCTAACTGCTTTGCACTCTTTTTTTTCAATTGTCACGGGGAAGATACAATTAGTATCCCCATATTATGGCTGAGAAAACCGATGCGTATGGAAAAGTAAAGCAAGTAATTACCCGAATTTACGTAGTACGTGGGGAAGCTGGAATAATTTAAAAGTGTAGAGAAATCGATGAATCCGTGCTACAATGCGGAGGGAGTGGGGAGGCGGACCCAGGACAGGAAGCTCACCGCCACCATTTCTCCTAATCATCGGTGCCGCTCCCCCCCCCCCCCCCCCATCTCCCCCTTGCTAATGCTGAACAGCGGCGACCGTGGGTGGAGCTCGGAGAGAAAGCACCTGCAGCTGTTTTGTCTTGTTTGAAGAGAATGAACTAGAAAAGCATGCTTAAGCCTTCAGTTCTCTGCCCGCCTTCTTTATGAGCCACACCTGGCATAGGCGGCGCCCGCGAGGTTAAATTCTGCCAGGCGTGCGCCCCGGGCCTCCGGACGCCAAGAAAGAGGGTCTCCCGGTGTGGTCCTGGCGTTGCCGACTCTCTGCACCCTGACTTGGTGGGATATACGTTTGATGAGGACTCAAATGCTATGAGAGTGACTTATCTGCTTTGGAAGGCCTGGGGAAGTGGAAAGGAATTCCTGAAGCTGCCTCCACCAGTTTCCACCGCCTCCCTCCTCGCCTCGTGGACTGAGCGCGCCCCGGAGAAAGGTGAGTACCTTAAGCGCGGACTCGCCTTTTCTTCGTGGTCTACCTTTGCGTTCGTCACATCAGTGTTTGCCGAGCACCGCTGGATCAGTTTTTAGTCCCTTGGCTTACTTGTTATCAATATACACATTGTTTATTTCTTATCAATATTGACAAGCATTTCCTAAGCAGTAAACCATAACGCTGCTCCCCAGAAAAAGGAGAAAGTCAGGCAATCTATGCCTTGCTTTAGCTACAGGCACACCTATTACCATAAAACACAAAAACAAAGAGAAGACACAAACGGGAAGGATATACAATAGTATTTGCAAGAAGTACAGCTGCCCTGGCCAGGTGGCTCATTTGGTTAGAGCAGAGGTCGGCAAACCGCGGCTCCTAAGCCACATGCGGCTCTTTGGCCCCTTGAGTGTGGCTCTTCCACAAAATATCACGGCCTGGGAGAGTCTATTTTGAAGAAGTGGCATTAGAAGAAATTTAAGGTTTAAAAAATTTGGCTCTCAAAAGAAATTTCCATCGTTGTCCTGTTGCTATTTGGCTCTGTTGACGAATGAGTTTGCCGACCACTGGGTTAGCGTGTCATCCCATGTGCCAAACTTGGATCCTGGTCAGGGCACATAAAAAGAATCAACCAGTGCGTGCATAAATAAGGGGAACAACAACTGGATGTTCTCTCCCTCTCTCTCCCTCCCCATCCCTCTCTCGCTCCGCCTCTCTCTCTAAAATAAAAAAGTTAAAAATAAGAATTCACCCAAAGAGAGATGATAAAACACCTAGACCACCAGCCAATTGGCATCAGCCTCATTGGGAGAAGCAAGGGACCCAGTTCCCGGGAAGTGGTGCTGCAGGGCCTGCGAGCAGAAAGGCTGCAGAGGGGCCGCTGTGGGGACTGAGTGTCCGCCCTGCACCCCGGGGCCCAGGGAGAGGGAGGGGGGCGGCTCCGGGGCTGCGGGACACACAGACGGTCAGCGCCCGCAGTGTGAGGTCCAGCGGCCGCCTGCACGCGCTCTGCGGATGGAAGCGAGCACCGCCCCGGGGGGCGCACCCCCAGCTCTGGCTCCTTTGCAGGCCTCGGCAGCGAGGCCGTCTCTCCTAAACGCGCACCCGAACGTACGGGGGTGGGTGGCATAGACACAGGAGCGCCCCTCGCCCCGATGCTGGCCAGGGCTCATCCCAGGACCCTAATAGTTCTGAGTCAAGAAAGAGAACTCAGGGCCGAGCCGCTAGGAACCGGGCGGGCGCTGCGCGCTCGGGGCGGGGGGCCACTCACCGGCCATGGCTCCGGCGGGGCGCTGGTTGCGGGGCTGGCTGGTGGCGGGGCAAGATCTCCGGAGGCTCGTGGGTGCTGCCAGCCGAGCTGGGGCTGCTTTATATCTGGCCTGGCCCTGCCCGGGCCACACGGGCCAGGTACCCAGCAAAGGCGGAGCTGGCCACCCGCGCCCTGGGATGCAGGGCGGAGCTCCGGGAAGGAAAGGGGAGCCTGGAGGAGGGACCTCGGGACCTGGGAGGAGGGTGCCTGGGGGTGGGAGGTGAGAGGGGTCTCCTGGGTCTGGGTGGGAGTGGGAGGTGTGCCGGGCTTGGGGGGGGGGGGGGAAGAGGGGAAGGAGGGCACGCCTTTTGGCCTCTCTCTGCCCAAAGCTCTTGGATCCGGGAGCCAAAAGGGAGGTGCGCGGCCGCGGCCCTTTAGCTCCAGAATCGCTGACTCACTGTGACTTGGGGTTTGGGTGCTGAGGGCAAAGAGAAAGCCGTTTCTTCCTTTGCGAGGCCCGGATGCTGCCCTCGGGGCTGTGTGTGCCGGTGCCAATCCCTGCCCCTCACAATCTGGGAACTAAGGCCCCCCCTTTTCCTCCGCCCAGGAGCTAGTCCACGGTTGGAGGGGGTGGGAGCAGCCACTGGAGCCTTGAAAGGCTCGCCTCGACAGTCGAGTTTAGTGGCCTTAACACAGTGCCCCACTTTGTGTAACTGAACAGAACCGAGTAAAAAGTCGTATCTGCAAAATTCAAATTATCGTAGAGTCTTCATCCTCCAGAACAGAGAGGAGACACACTGTCAAAAGGCGAAGGGAAAAGAAATAGAACTTCAAAGTGCAGCCATCCGAAAAACTGCTAAGGATAAGAAGCTTCCGTGGGGATGGAGGTAGAGAGTATGCAGGATCCTTAGGGAGAGGTACCTGGGGGCACAATTTAAGGGAGTGTCAGAAAACTCAAGAATCAGAATAAAGAATGATTAATGTAACGTTTTTTCAGAACCAATTTGCTGGGGGAAAAATCATGCTGAACAAAATAGACAAATGTTAAAAAGGCAGGATTAGGCAGTAAGTGCCAAGTCATGTTGACTCGAAAGCAAAATAGAAATCAGTTCATTCTGATTCTTTTTTAAAATATATATATATTTCTTTATTGATTTCAGAGATGAAGGGAGAGGGAGATAGAAACATCAATAAGAGAGACACTTCCCCAGGAAGTGTCCTCCTGCACGCCCCGCACTGAGGATCGAGCCCACAACCTGGGCACGTGCCCTTGGCCAGAATCGAACCCGGGACCCCTCAGCCCGCAGGCCAACGCTCTATCCAATAAGTCCACCTGGTCAGGGCATTTTGATTCTTTATGTTGTTAAAAATGGAGTAAATGTTAAAGATCTTATTGTCTTTACACAACAGTTTATGCCTCAGTCAGCACCAGGCTGACAGGTGTAAAGGAGTTCGCAGGAGCTGTACTAAACCAAGGCCGCTTGTTGGTAGAGGGGAGCGGGAACAAGGAAGTTAGATGAGGCAACGACGCCAGCTGGTTATTACAGAGTCAGCTTCCTTTGGCAGGGGTCTACCAGGCAGGTTACACAACCAGGCAGTTCCTGATTGACAGGCTTAAGAGTGTAAGATTCCATTTCTGGGAAAGTCCAAACTCTTCAGTAAGCCTGGGTTTGGTGATGTGAGGCTTGCCATGCGTGATTCTAGTTTGGGCCTATGGTCTTGCTTTTAACAATTCCACCCTCTTTATCAGACTTCCGGCCCGAGAGATGTGATAAAAAATGGAAGGACGCCTTTAGCACTACTTCCAGCGGACGCCCTGGGATTCTCAAAGCCTGGTGTTTCACAGGCGTGGCATTTACAGGTCATAACATGGGGCTCTCATTCTCCAAGTCATTCTCTTTGATCCTTTTCTGACGTTCTAGTCTTAGGGAGATCACTTGCTTGACGGTTAGTGACTACACATGCATATTTAAAACTTGAGCCCTAGCTGGTTTGGCTCAGTGGATAGATCGTCCGATTGCGGACTGAAGGGTCCCAGATTCTATTCTAGTCAAGGGCACATGCCCAGGTTGCAGGCTCCATCCCCAGTAGGGGACATACAGGAGGCAGCCGATCAGTGATTCTCTCTCATCATTGATGTTTCCATCTCTCTCTTCCTCTCCCTCTCTGAAATCAATAATATATATATATATATATATATATATATATATATATATATATTTATTTATTTATTTATATATTTTTTAAATAAAACTTGAGAGGATACAGCACACCAAGGAAATAGTATGATTATTACAAGCAGGGTAATGAATTTTCCATGTCTGGAACGCACTTTGAAGCTATGGCTCTCAAGACCCAAAGCAACCAGAATTAAATAAGTCAAAGATTCCATTGGAGGAGTCACTGTTTTAGCACCAACGTGCTTACTCAGTGACCTTCTGTAGTTCAGACCCAGCCTCCCCAGGAATTGTCTGTCCGTCCAAAGGTAGCAAGTGACGTTGGCTATTGCTCCACTAACAGATTAGCAGGGGCGCTCCTAATATCAAGAACAACTTTGGCCATAGAACCTAGGGATTTTGTGGGTCACCTATTGCTTTAGCAGCGGATTCGGCAGTATTTTCTTCATTATTATTTTAAAAATATATTTTATTGATTTTTTTTTTTTTTTTTTTACAGAGAGGAAGGGAGAGTTTGAAACATGTTTGAGAGAGAAACATCAATCAGCTGCCTCTTCCACACCTCCTTGGGGGGATGTGCCCACAACCAAGGTACATACCCTTGACTGGAATCGAACCTGGGACCTTTCAGTCCGCAGGCGGATGCTCTATCCACTGAGCCAAACCGGTTAGGGCTAGTCTTAGCTCTTATATTTAGTTTTTTTTTTTTTTTTAAATATATTTTATTGATTTTTTACAGAGGAAGAGAGAGGGACAGAGTTAGAAACATCGATGAGAGAGAAACATCAACCTTTTGCCTCCTGCACACCCCCCACCGGAGATGTGCCCACAACTAAGGTGCATGCCCTTTACTGGAATCGAACCTGGGACCTTTCAGTCCGCAGGCCGATGCTCTATCCACTGAGCCAAACCAGTCTCAGCTATTTAGGTTTTTGATCCACTTTGAAACAGTTTTTGAGGATGATGTGAGGTAAGGAATAAAATTATTTTACACCAAGTAGTTATGTGACTTGTAGCTACATCACTAGTCAATGGTGTAGGTCAGGATTTGAACTCAGGCCCTCGGACTCCAGAGCCAGCTCCCAGCTGTTACTCGCTTTCAGAATTCTTGAGTCTAGCTCCAGGTCAACTGCTAATGATCTCTCTGAGCCTTGGTTGCCTCAACTTTAAAAATCTGGTTTTGGGGGCCGGGGGGAAAGAAATCTGGGTTTGGGCTGCATTACCTTAAAGGTCCCTCCAGCCTTTATTTGCTGTCACTTTAAGGTTGTCCGTTTTCCACGGTCTTATCTGAGCGGGCCTCTGTGCCAAGAGGAGTATGTGTGTCCCAGGCGTTGTGTGTCAACTGAAAACAGTCCTCCAGGCCTCCCCTCAGTCCCCAGGGAGCAGGCCAGCACCCAGAGCTGTAGGAAGCTCTGCTGACAGCCTTCATTATCTTAGAAACAAAGAGCAGGGGTAGGAGAATTCTCAGGAGTGGAGCGCCCCCCCCCCCCCCCCCCCCCCCCCCCGTCCCCCATTCCCCAAAGAACACAAACAGCCTCATTAGTCACCTGCTAAGGTCCTGCGTCCACATGTCTGGTTGCTTTTTTTTTTTTTGCACAAGAAGTCCCCAAAGCTCTCTTGCTTTTCTCTGAGCTGTGGATGACAGAATTACTACCGTAGCTCAGAGCCACGCTCAGGCCTGTCTGGGGACCTGGGCATCTGTTGTCTTCTGTGGTTCCCATGACTACCAGCCAAGGATCCTGCAGGGACCAGGTCCTCCTTGGGACTGGTGGAGAAATGATTCTTCCTCTGTAAACCCCATCCTGTCCTGCCCTCTGGTCTCACAATCGCTTGCACAAGGCACACGCCCGTATGCGGGACTCCCCATGTCCCTGTGTGTCCTGCTTTGTGGGTAGGAGCAGAGCAGCCTTTGGTACCACTCCGGAGTACCCGCCATATGCCTCTGGGTTAAGAAAATTTTCACTCTTGCCGAAACCGGTTTGGCTCAATGGATAGAGCGTCGGCTTGGGGACTGAAAGGTCCCGGGTTCGATTCCGGTCAAGGGCATGTACCTTGGTTGCAGGTATATCCCCAGTAGGGGGTGTGCAAGAGGCAGCTGATCGATGACTCTCTCTCATCGATGTTTCTAACTCTCTATCTCTCTCCCTTCCTCTCTGTAAAAAATCAATAAAATATATATTTAAAAAAAAATACTATTAAAAAAAAAAAAAAAAATTTTCACTCTAGCTGAAACCGGTTTGGCTCAGTGGATAGAGTGTCGGCCTGTGGACTGAAGGGTCCTGGGTTCGATTCTGGTCAAGGGCATGTATGTACATTGGTTGTGGGCACATCCCTGGTGGGGGGTGTGCAAGAGGCAGCTAGTCGATGTTTCTCTCTCATCGACGTTTCTAGCTCTCTCCCTTCCTCTCAGTAAAAAATTAATAAAATATATTTAAAAAAATTTTTTTCACTCTGATCTGTGGGACCCTGAGCTGTTCCTGGCCCTATGCGAACTCCGAGGAGTCTTTTCTCTGCCTTTTTGGGGTCTTTCTTTGCCCAGCTTCGGGAAGCTCTTTCTATGATGTGTTTCTCAAAACCGAGCTGAGGACTCAAGGGATCCCGGTGCAGACCTGTAAGCAAGCTGTCTGCAGTGCTCTCTCCTCTCCAATAGCCTGTCCTGTGAATCCTAGCCACCCTGGTCTCCCAGCGCTGGTGGCTTAACTCAAGGAGATGCCTGCATTCTACCTTTTCCTTCTGGAAATCCTCTCCAGACACCCAGCTAGTGCCATTGTGGCACCCAAGCATGGGTTTAACAAGGATGGTGGGTGAGGGGAAACACAGAGTGTTCAGCCCATTTTTTATGATGGTTGATAGTAAATTTGTTGCATAAAAGCACAGCTGGGTCAAGTTGAAAACTTGGCCTAGAGACCGAGGCTGTGTGATTTTGAGCAAGACACTTCACCTCTTGTAGCTCACGGCAGCTGGAGATAGCAGTCCTGGTGGCTCATCACAATGTTCTATGGATTAAACGGGCTAATGCAGATGAAGTACTT